GGTGTGTGTGTGTGTGTGTGTGTGTGTGTGTGTGTTTGTGTGTTGTGTTGACGTGAGCACATTTGAATGACAAACCCTGGAAATGCTGAAATTGCGTGTTTGGACTTAGTCTTTTAGTGTATGGATGTACTGGAGCGAGTTCTGCCATCACTTAAGTGTTGGTCTGTGTTCATGTGTAGGATGTTTATTGTTTTAAGACAGTGTGTCAAGTTAAAAATGTACCTTAAATTCCCTTCAGTGTTTACACTACCATTCAAAAGTTTGAGGTTGGTGCGATTTTTTTAAAATTAATTAATGAATTAATTTACTTGTTTGTTTTAATGTTTCAAAAAAAGTATCTTATGCTCATTTATTTGACCAAAAATACAGTAAAACAGTAATACTGTGAAATAGGGCTGCACGATAAATCGTATGCTATATTTAATGCACGTCTTGTTAGTAAAGCCGGTTCTGTAATCAGCGGTAAATCTCCATCACGTGCGTGCTTTCACATGGAGCAGCATTTACTACACAGAGCCGTTGTTCACTGACAGTGACACGTGATGGAGATTTACCGCTGATTACAGAACCGGCTTTACTAACAAGATGCGCATTAAATAACGCATGCGATTTATTGTGCAGCCCTAATGTGAAATAATATTACTATTGAAAATAAATGTTTTCTGTTTTAATATATTTTAAAAACTACTTATTCCTGTGATGGAAAAGCAGAATTTTCAGTGTCACATGATCCAGTGTCACATGCATGTCCATGATCTATTATCAATATTGAAAAGAGTTGTGCTGTTTTTAATATTTTTGTGGAAACCTATATTTACATATTTATTTATTTATTTAACCCTAACTTTTGAACATTTTATCAGTTTGTGTTTTAACTGAGAATTAGGGATGGGTATCGAGTTCGATACTTTTTAGGCACCGACCGAAATGCCTCGATACCATCGAGTATCGAAAAACGTCTCGTCGTTACCTTTCGATACCTAAGGGGTTAATCTCATCAGCATCAGTGAGCCAATAAGCCTGCAGCACTAGTTCGACTAGAAGAGGTGCGGCGCAGATCGGTCAGTGTTTGACATCCGCGAGAGCGATTCGAAAGCGCACGGAGCAGTCTGCTCTCTTTAGCTCTCGTGGTACTGTAATACACATTACAGTTTACACCGGTTACACTCAGAGATGTGGCGCACACGTGAGGCTGTAGTGTGAATGCGTCCCAGCCCCCTTAGATGTAAGGCTATATTTACACTGGTGCGTTTATGTTTTAAAATGAAAATGATCCTCGTCATACTGGCGTGCACTGCGTTTCAAGCCGGCTTTCCACTATCTCCGACAAGCGACAAGCGACAGACCGGTCATTCAGTCATTCATTTCCAATGGAGAGTAGTGCAGGAGCTGTGTGGAGTTCCGATGATGTCTGTTCATACTACACGACCGAAAGCACGTGTTACGTGAGCATTCATGCAAACTGTAGCATCATGCTACATAAGACAAGAAATAAGATTTATATTCCGCTTTTACTCAAAACTCACTTTAAACCACCATCGAGTGTTTG